CAGTTCAGTACCGCTTTAGAGTGGGCGGGATTATTCACTTATAGTTTATAGTTGCGCCGCCTCTACTGCCGCGCGACTCCTGAAAAACCTTTTCATTCCGCGTCGCCCCATCAAGCTCTCGCTGGATCCGCTCCTCTGCTATCAACGAGAGGACCGTCTGTACTTCCTCAACAGACAACGAAACAGCCACATTTTGGTTGTTAAAAAAGGTGTGCTCGTTCAAAACAGTTGCATTCGATCCTTCGCTGGCTGTGCTGATTTAAATCTAGTGGTTCTGTTGTGTTTGTGGCGCAAGTTCAGTGACGCAGGTAGTGACAATTCTCTGCGGCCAATCCGTGATCAGCAGAGTTTACACATCACGTTTTGGTAACGATACGGTTCACTTGGAACCTCAACCGAGGTGGTACTAAAAAAAGTACCAGGTACTGTACCCAGTGGAAAACCCCCCAAAAGTTAACCGTACCGTGCCGTACCATGCAGTGGAAAAGCGCCAATAGTTAGCTAACGATGCTTTTTGGAAACGCATCCCAGGTCTGGCGGCGTGTGATGAGGCACACCTGAATTGAATGAAGCTTCATCACTTAATGTTAAATGCCGAGCGCGCCTCTCCTTGAGACTGGTCTCTTCCCCTGTGTATGCACGCTGGTGTCCTCGTGGGTCCAGGAAAGGAGCGTGGAGGGACTCCCGCTTTGCCAGAAACGTGAGCTGCCGGACCTGTGGTCTGGAATGGAGACGCACCTGTGATGTTGTCGACGGGCTAGGATGCCAGGCCAATAATCCCCTCAAGCACCATGAGCCAGGGAAGAAGAGCCCCTGTGAAGAAGCCGCCGCCCCTCACGCCCCGGACCACAGAGAGGAACAAGTGCGACCGCTGGACTCCGCCCCTTACCAGGACCACTCCTTTCCGAACACTGCCCTTCCTTCACGATTCCCCAGCACAATGAGGACACCAGATCCCCTAACTCCTTCCTTTTTGGACACTTTATTCCCCGTTTTAGACATTTTATATTTATTTTCTGTTAAATAAAAGCCTCTCCGAGGCCTGACGCCACACCCACTGTGTCTGTCGTTTGCTCCTCCCGCCACACTAGTAAGAGCTTGATTAGCGGATTCAGCAGTGTTTAATTAGGGTTGGAGCTGAACTCTGCAGGACAGTGGCCCTCCAGGACAGAGTTTGGAGACCCCTGGTTTAAAGTATGTTGTATGTTTCACTTTCAGTTTGTCTACAGTCTTTGGGTGGCAAACAGTCATAAATATCCTCCAACAGGCAGTTTTACAACCTAGTCAGGCTGGTCTGTGCACACACACCTGCTGCAGCTGCTGTCGGAGCTGATCTGTGGTCAGACCCAAAGATCTCATGCCGCGACTCCTGCAGGCGGCCTGGAGCTCGGCTACAGTCATTGTGGTCACACCCTCCTTGGCGATCATCTACAGAGACGCATGAAAATCAAGTTTATCCAACAGGTGAGATCATCTCCTTAACATATCGAACGCAGAAGACTTGATACATGTTTTTAATAAGTTGAACTTATTTTAACTTGACAGCCGTGCTTTTAGAATGCGTGTCATACACAAGATGCAAGAGCAATGGTCAAAGATGTTTGTCTAGAGCAGGGGTAGGCAAGTTCGGTCCTAGAGAGCCGCAGTCCTGCACTGGTCTGTGCACACACACCTGCTGCAGCTGCTGTCGGAGCTGATCTGTGGTCAGACCCAAAGATCTCATGCCGCGACTCCTGCAGGCGGCCTGGAGCTCGGCTACAGTCATTGTGGTCACACCCTCCTTGGCGATCATCTACAGAGACGCATGAAAATCAAGTTTATCCAACAGGTGAGATCATCTCCTTAACATATCGAACGCAGAAGACTTGATACATGTTTTTAATAAGTTGAACTTATTTTAACTTGACAGCCGTGCTTTTAGAATGCGTGTCATACACAAGATGCAAGAGCAATGGTCAAAGATGTTTGTCTAGAGCAGGGGTAGGCAAGTTCGGTCCTAGAGAGCCGCAGTCCTGCAGAGTTCAGCTCCAACCCTAATCAAACACACCTGAACAAGCCAATCGATGTCTTCAGGATTACTAAGGCTAGAAGGCAGGTGAATTTTTTTTTTTCAGAGTTGGAGCTGAACTGACTGAGGCTCCCTAGGACCGAATTTGCCTATCCCTGCTCTAGAGCATGTTTACATTAAAACAATTATAGTAAAGTAGCTTATGTGTTCTGTGTAGACAATTTTAAGATGTATGGTTTAGTCACCCAGAAACCTTGAGGTCACAGCACCATGTCAAGTCATTAATTCAGCTGTAAAACTATTTTAGAGGGTCAGTAGCAGTTGTCTGGCTTTGTCTCACCTCATCGTCAGCCTTGATGGTGCGCAGCTGCATCATCAGCTGGAAACGCAGCAGGTTATTAGTGCCGATGGGCTGCAGCTCCAGCAGTTTACACAAGGCCACTAGCTGCGGCCGCTCCAGATGCTCCAGCGTCAGCTCATCCTCAAAGAGCTTGGAGAACTTCACGATGTCTTTAGTGCTGGGCTGTTCACCGGTGTGCCTCACCTATAACGGTCAAGTTAGAAGCGTCAGTCACATCCAGAACAATTTATACTATACACGATATGAAAAAATGTATTCGATTATCGAACTCACCTGCTGCACGTAAGTCGAGAACCTCTGAGTCTCATCTCCAACAGCTGCTTTATTCCTCCTGGCCATCTCAGCAATGGTCTCCTGTAAGAACTTGGCCAGCTCCAGTTTAGCAGCGAGTCCCTTCTTCTGTTTTTCCTCCTGTGAGAGTAAAAGAAACTAATTCAGCTGTTTCACTAATCATTACTCAACAATTTTGAACAATGCAAATTATTACTCAGATTCATCACACTTGTTATGCCTGTGTTTCATAATTCGGGCTAAACAAAATAGGCTGAACTCATTATAAAAAATTTTAAAACGTAAGCTTATAATACCTTCTTGGACTCTGTCTCAAATGTGGAAGGCAACATTTCTGGAAAGAGTTTGAGGAATACGGGGAGCAGAAACTCCATGAAGGGAACGATGACAAAGACTATGAAGGGCAAAAGCCGGAACAAGTCGGCACATGTCCGCATCAGCTGTGGAGACAATAAATGAGAATGACAATCTTATTCGTCTGTAGTCAAACACAAAAGCAATATGGGTTAGTGAGAGTAGCACTTCTGGCCTAATCCAGCTGTACTTTCACTGAAGTGTTAAGCTTTTTGGTTATGCAATCCTATTTGAGTCACATTACATTATACATCCTTGACCAAGCACTGGTTTGTTCTAACAGGATAATCAAACAATTACCTTTTCATAAAACTCAAATCCTGTACACACATAATAACTTACGACACATTTTCCTCTGTCAAACTACTAATCTTCTTATATAAAGATGTTTTGAGACTACAAATAACAAAAGTAATGGTAATAATAAAATTACCATTATTTTGGACATGGCACCATGGTACTACTATAGTAATATATGCATGTAGTAAAATATTAGTACTACTATAGTAAATACTATGGTAATTTTCTACATGTACTATAGTAGTACAAATGGTCAAATGCAAATTGTGCGAGACAGAATTCTAATTAATTGTGAAAATGCATTATAATACTGACATATTTCTGAAATCTTTGAAAATGATGCTCCAATAATAGTTTTAATTGATGATGTCATTTCCAGCAATGACTGTTAGTTTTCCAAATGCAAGTTTTGACTGTTTAACATTTTTGTTCCCACTTAATTTTGTTAATAAGCATTTTTAAAAGCAGTGAGTGGATAGAATATTGAAGATTCCAGAATACTGGAATGTTATTCGAGAACGTATAACTTGCGCTCACATATCATGGAGATATGTGAAATATGACAAATTGGATGGATTGCTACTACGGGTATTTAAATGAACCTGGAGTACCGTGTGAATACATTATGAATATGATAATGATATTTCTCCATATCAAAGTAGCATTGAGTTAATATCTAATACAACCACTCTAGCATGGTAAACCCAAAGTAACATAAAGCTCCTCATCAAAAACATCTCCCAAGATTTCCAAACATACCCTCCTCCTCTCTCTCCTGGTGAGCTGCTGCCCGTGCAGTAACCTCCAGACCATCCTACCCGCGATTTTGGTGTCGATGCCTAGAAGGCGGAAGCCATGATAGTAATGCTTGAGCTCATCCAGGACTCTCTGTCCCAGGGACTTCCTTGGCACTGCTGGTGGTGCTGGCGGTGGTTGAGTGCCAGAGGCGGCAGGGACAGGCTCACCCTTGATGGGTTCAGAACCCGCAGCGGTGTCCTTCACCTCTTGAAGCCAAGCACAAGAACTGTGGAGGGGACGTGCAGCTACGCACCCAGGGCGGATGTAGCTGGATGTGTAACAGGGGTACAGCGGCCTGGGACACCTGGCTGTGACGGCAGCCCGGCTGAGGAACTCCGAATGGTAGCATATGCATGCGGTCGACGGGAGTGAAGCACAACCGTGTCTTTTAGAAAGCATGTAGGATCCCCTGGAAGAAAACCAGAACTTTGAGCTCCAATAAAGAGACTATTTACAACAATAGAGTGCAAAGTAAAATATCTAAGGGACGTTCCAGTTTCTGTGCTCTTGATTACAACAGAAAATTATTTCAACTCATCCCTCAGTTTGTAAAAACAAGCTAAATTGTTCACAGTAATGGCCGATTGAACCCCAAGATTTGATATATATATATATATATATATATATAATGTTAACATGAGATTAATGCGATAAAATCGCTTATTAGTCTGTCTTAATTCTAATCTTTCAATCCTTTCAATTCAATCATATAAAGCCTTTAAACCCAGTGACTTTATAATAACGTACAAAAGGATACACGAAAGGGATTATTTACATCAAGAATTACATTAAATTAAATCATCCTAGAAAAGTATTAACCATCACTAAAAGGACAATTTAGCCAACTTTACAGCTTAAATATATTTTAAATGCAAGAATGAATGTGCTTTAACAAGGTTTTTTAAAAACCTCCATGATGTATTGATATTTGGGGAACAGCAAAATATAATTATAAAATAATGTTAGTATTTTATTGAATAATAATATTTTAAAATAATAGTACACTTGGAATAGGATACAATTGTTCATGTTTGCGCCAGTAGCTTGGATGATGGCCTCACCTTGATCTCGTTACGGCAAGAAGCACCTGTGAGCTGAAAACTGCCATTTTGTGACTTAAAATCGTGTGTCCTGTAAAGCTTAAATATATTTTAAATGCAAGAATGAATGTGCTTTAACAAGGTTTTTTAAAAACCTCCATGATGTATTGATATTTGGGGAACAGCAAAATATAATTATAAAATAATGTTAGTATTTTATTGAATAATATTTTAAAATAATAGTACACTTGGAATAGGATACAATTGTTCATGTTTGCGCCAGTAGCTTGGATGATGGCCTCACCTTGATCTTGTTACGGCAAGAAGCACCTGTGAGCTGAAAACTGCCATTTTGTGACTTAAAATCGTGTGTCCTGTAAACAGAGAGAGGAAAAAAGGCAAAATGTGAATTACAGCTACAGTAATGGTGGTACTGACTGCGAATTCAGTACCTGTACGTGGTCAGGCTGGACGGGTTTGTGAGGAATCAATCTTCTCATTTTTGTGTAATATTTTATGAAACTTCGTTTTATATATTTGTTCATCTACTTCCTATTTATGAATGTTATTTTTCTGTAGTACTCTAGGTTTCCAAAATCGTGAACTTGCACATTTGATGTAAAAAACAAGACAAAACACGAACACTTTAATATCACAACAGGGGTTTTAAGTGTCCCGATATCAATAAATGTACACAGATTCACAAACAAAGGCAACTCCACAAATAAGTATAAGGCGTTTGTGAGCAAATGTGCAAAAATTAGAAAACTGCCATTTTGTGACTTAAAATCGTGTGTCCTGTAAAGAGAGAGAGGAAAAAAGGCAAAATGTGAATTACAGCTACAGTAATGGTGGTACTGACTGCGAATTCAGTACCTGTACGTGGTCAGGCTGGACGGGTTTGTGAGGAATCAATCTTCTCATTTTTGTGTAATATTTTATGAAACTTCGTTTTATATATTTGTTCATCTACTTCCTATTTATGAATGTTATTTTTCTGTAGTACTCTAGGTTTCCAAAATCGTGAACTTGCACATTTGATGTAAAAAACAAGACAAAACACGAACACTTTAATATCACAACAGGGGTTTTAAGTGTCCCGATATCAATAAATGTACAGATTCACAAACAAAGGCAACTCCACAAATAAGTATAAGGCGTTTGTGAGCAAATGTGCAAAAATTTATCAAGTTAGATTTGCTTAAGTATTTGTGAGGAATATGTCCTTTTATGGTTTGTGCAAACGTGCAATTTTTGTTGAACCTATTACTTAAGTACATGTATTGATGAATACTGCAACAATAATAATCTCCTACGTCACGCTCGTGCGGCAGTCTCGAGCGCTGCACACAAATACCGGCTCGCGCGTTTGTCTATATCTGCTGAAACAGCACACAAACACGGAGACCGGTCAAAATCACAGGCCATATTTAACGAGAATACAAGGAAAGTTTCATTTCACGCGAAAGTCTGACGCAAATTACAACGGCAAATTATACAAACGTTATAACGTATTACGACACCGCTAGTATTAAAGTAACGTTACCATTACTTTATGCGAACGTCAACATGAACTACAGTATCCACTTCCTTATTATAATTCATCGAGAGTTTTGACATGTTAAACGTCTAAACTGTAAGAAAAGTGGTGCGAGTTCGTCAAAACAATGAAGTTTAATGACAGGCGCTGAAGGCCACAGCAGAGGCCGCAGATACACGATCACCGCGCATTCAGTACCAGCTCAACTAATGCAGAAGCCTAGCTGATCTGTGGATAAAGTCGACACAACATCGATCAACTTTAGAAACAAGCGATCGGACAGTTCTTTTGTTTTAAATTCGTTAATGTACAACGAACAGCGAGCGGTGGCTCAACGGTTGAGAGACAACAGATGAAAGAGAAAGGCTCGAGATGGTCTGAAATAACTCAGAGATCAAGCGTTTAACAGCTCGAAACACGATTAAACGACTACCAACCTGTCGAAAAAGCTCCGTGTCGTGCGGCGTGATGGCGGTTGGGCTGTAACCATTGGATATGGTGTCAGATCGGATGACGGTGGAGAAAAATGTTCGGCTCGACAGCGCTCCTCCTGCAGCTGAGGGTCAGATTTCCTCGCAGGCGATGGCACGTTACGGGGGGAAAACGGACCTTTTGCGGGATGAGATACTCCATTCACGATGGTATGCCACTCCTTAAGTTTAAATCTAAATGGGCATATAAATTAATACATCCGTGCTGATGTACTATTGTGAACGGATTTTAAAACGGACTGTCAAGTTGCCTCTAGACAAACCGATCGTCCTACTGAGGAGGATCGTCCGATGAGAGGCGATGCGTGATTGACAGCAGCGTACACCAATGGGCGAGCTGTACGCACTAGTGACGCTGGCCAATCCGCTGGACGGGGCGGACTGTGGAACTTCCCATGACCTCATCCGACACCTGCTGATCTCAGTTCAGCTGTAGCTCAGTGTTGTCATGGCAACGGTCGAGTTTACAGTGCCGAGAACAGGGACGGAGTAGCAAGGCGTGTCATCCGCTGGACGGGGCGGACAGTGGAACTTCCCATGACCTCATCCGACACCTGCTGATCTCAGTTCAGCTGTAGCTCAGTGTTGTCATGGCAACGGTCAAGTTTACAGTGCCGAGAACAGGGACGGAGTAGCAAGGCGTGTCATATCAGAATCAGAATCAGAATGAGCTTTATTGCCAGGTATGTCTTGTTTAATAAATAAAGCGCATGTATATTAATGTGGGGTGTAAGGACTATTTTTTTGACAACCACAATATGTTTTATCTATTTATCATCTAGTTTTATCTAGCTTTATCCATATAACATATTGTTTTTTATTTGTAATTTTACTAACATTTTACTATATATGTATATACAGTGTCAGGGGTAATATTTTTCAATTAACTAGTAAAGTAACGCATTACTTTTTAATTTACAAGAGAATATCTGATTTACTTTTTCAAATAAGTAATGCAGTTTGCTTCTGACCTTCGATGATCCAGTTTAACCACTAATAAGCACACATTACTCTAAACAACTTTTTTTTTATTGCTGAAGTGTGTTGAAATGTCTTCTTCTGCATTCTACTGTACGGACGTAAATGTACTTTCCCTTCAGCCTGAGGCTTATTCGTTTCACTTTTGGTGTGAAAAGGCTTTTATATTTGCCAAAAATAGAACTTTTTTATTTTAAAATCAAACAAGCAAGCCCTGTCCAGATTTAAAAAGTAACGCAAAAGTAACGTAACGCATTACTTTCCATAAAAAGTAACTAAGTAACATAATTAGTTACTTTTTTATGGAGTAACGCAATATTGTAATGCATTACTTTTAAAAGTAACTTTCCCCAACACTGTGTATGTAAATATATATAAATATATATATATATTTACTTATTTATTTATTTATTTTCCGTGGTTGAAGTAGTATTTAGCTATTTTTGGAAAACAGGATAATGACATTATTTTGTTTTCATTATGTGTGTGTATCTGTGTGTGTGTATATATATATATATATATATATATATATATTACTCTCTGTAATACATTGATCACATCTTATGTTTTACTGACAAGCAATAATATTGTTGTAATTATAAGAAAAAGAAGAAAACTACTCGTCCCAACATGCCCCTCACATCATGCAGCACAGCCAATGGGGGGATTTTATTTTGGCGCTGAGACACAGGCCTTAAGCAGAAGGGCTTTTGTTACAGCTAGAGGGAGGGAGACGGCTATAATAAAATATATGGGAGCCAAATTTCCCTGGGTCTGCAGGAGCATCCCGCAAAAAAAAAAAAAAAACGGGGCCTCTCCCGATTCCACAGCCACACATCCTATCATGAGGATCGACATACGACTGATCTAGCCCCATTTCTTTTCCAAACAGCGGATTAGATCTATAAGAAACGTGGAGTCGTATGTCTTTGTGTTGATATATTTATGTTAACTGCAGCAGGAATCCAGTTTATTCGCTGTATTTGTTTAGAATGGAACACGCTGAAGGTACAGACGCTTTTATTCTACCGTTGTTTCGATGCTTCGTTTCATAATATCGCGCAGAATCCAAACAGGCGCTGCATGTATTTCTGTTTTTGATGACAATAAAGCAGTGGTTTTCATCACACCTCTTCCTGATGGAAATGTAATCTGGCCAATTTGATTTAAAGGGGCACACGGGCAGCCATGTTGGCATGTTCGCATTCAGTTCTTCAGTTTGTAAGGTTCTCCGCGTGATTCAATCTACCAAGAAACATACCATTTAGAAACAAACTGTCTCTTTGGAAAATGCCCTGGTGATAAACCTTAGAAGTGCGTGTGTTGGTGTTTTCCCCCCATGTACACACATTAGCACATCCGCTAACGCCGCCTTTCATATAACGTTAATGCAGCGACATTACACGGGTCCGCTTTACAAGGCTGTTGGGGAAACAGGATCTGTTTTTAACTCCACCAAATCGTAATTTTGTTTATTCGTGGCCCATATAGTATTTTCGTTAAGTTGTTTGTGTTTACACGTGACAGTATGATTATATCGGGTCTGTTTTGTTATCCAGAAAAGGCTAGCAGGCTAACATTAGCCAGCTGCTGGTCTTTGCAGGTTTGTTTCTTTGACATGAAACGATGTTTCAGTTTAGAAGCAGTCGTTTATTGTTCTGTGGCATTGAGTGATGTGGTTCATGTGCTAAATGAAGCTTTTTAAAAATTATTTACTTTGAAAGCTGAAGCTGCGATTATGGTAAGGGGCGTTACATTTCTGACGTGTGCTTGTGGTGTTCGGCCAATCACAATGCACTGGGTCAGCTGGCCAATCAGAGCAGACTGCGCTTGGCAAAGGAGGGGGCTTTGTTGAAAACGCGTGTTTGAGAGAGGCAGGGCATAGAGGACATACAATAATGTACTGTATTTGAAAAATAATGTTTTTTGAACATTAAAGCATGTCAACATATTCTGTTACACCAAATACACAAAATAATGATCTTTAAAATAGCATCATATGACCCCTTTAAAATAATAAACAGTATAATGTTATCGCAATAATACTAAATAGGGATGTAACAATTAACCGCGAGCCGATCGAAAATCGATTCAAATATGTGACGATTCAAATCGGTTGAGATGCTAAACAAATCGCGATACAATTGGAGTAGAATTATATGAATGTATCTCTGAGGGGAACTGACTATCTTTAGAAAAGTTTACGTGGTATTTTCTTTTCATCTTGCCTCTGAACAATGCATGTTAAAGTAGTGTTTATAAGCTTTTACAGCGGTAACCCAGGAAACGCTGTGTGCTGCTGTTCATAAGCGCCACCTGCTGTCAGAGAGTGAATCTGCGTCTCATTCAGCTCGTCTGCCGTTTCGTTCAGATATGTTTTATGTAGTATAGTTTTACAAAACTAAAGTCAGACCATTCTGTTTTTGCTTCAAATTTCGAAATGATACAGTCTAATTTAGATTAAAAACCACTCATGTTGCATGTATGCTGCATCTTTGTTTGGATCATGATTCAAATCCAGTGGTTGCATCTCATTTTAAATGGAAGAGCACAGGTTCAGATATGTTTTATGTAGTATAGTTTTACAAAACTAAAGTCAGACCATTCTGTTTTTGCTTCAAATTTCGAAATGATACAGTCTAATTTAGATTAAAAACCACTCATGTTGCATGTATGCTGCATTTTTGTTTGGATCATGATTCAAATCCAGTGGTTGCATCTCATTTTAAATGGAAGAGCACAGGCAAAGCCTTAGTTTGTTCATATTAAGAGATTTCTTTTATTTGTGTAACTTGTTTGATTTGGGGTTTGTTTTAAAATTTTTAGTTTTGTTATATTTCAATTTCACAAAGAAACGTGCAGCAATAGCATAATAAAATGACACTTTTTAATTTAGGCTACTGTATAATGTCTTCAATCTCATTTTGTAAAAAAAAAATCATAAGAAAATAGAATCGGAAAATCAAAATCGTGATTCGAATCGTGAGTTGAGTGAATCATTACATCCCTAATACTAAAATAACACTGTAATACGTCTAGTTTATATTTAAAGTGAGTCACACAAGCGTTTATGAATGTGTAAGTTATGCAAAGGTGTCAAATAGTGAAGAAACTTTTTTTGTTTTTCTTCACAGGCTGAAGCAGCACCTCAAATGGATTTCAAAACAGGGTCGCAAAAAGGTGCTTGACACTGCAAGATGAATTTTACATTTATTTAAATGTTTTTTTTAGAGGCATTTTTTTTTAGTCATGTTTTGAATGATTAATAAGCCCGTAAATTAATTTATGGATCAGTATCTTAATGCTACTGGAATCCTGTAGGTGCCAGTGAGATCTCAGACTCATGTAAGCCACTGAAGAAACGCAGCAGGGCATCTACTGATGTGGAGATGGCCAGCTCACTGTACAGAGACACTTCTGACTCTGACTCCAGAGGCCTCAATGATCCACAGGTCAGACTACACTCAGAAATACCGCCAGTGTACCAGCAGGTTTTTGTTGATTGACACCTCAGCGATACAGTCCTCATTGGGTTACACAATTGTTATGGCAGATTTGTTTATTTGAAATATCTCCGTTTTTGTAGCCAAATGACAAATAGACTCCGCTTGTAAAGCCACATTTTTGCATTCATTTGCATCCCTTGTAGACTGGATTCGGGAAGCGCTCGGACAGTCCAGCTACAGTAGATGCTGACGGATCTGATGCACAGTCCGTGGACTCCAGCCTGTCCCATCAAGGAGGAAGTTCCTCAAAAAAGGACGCTGTCTGCCATGTAAGCTCTGTAAATACTGTTTTATATAGTCTCGCGTAGCCAGACCTTCAGACTGACGGCAAAAGGTCTGGGAATCTTGGCCCACACAAGAGGCCATATGATTGACAGGTAAAACAACCAATCATGTTTTGTTTTGTGCCATGTTTAGGGGCGTGGAAATGTCCCCACAATAACAGACCGTTGTGTAAAACTCTTGGACGTATTTTAAAGAGTCCAAAGTTTAGTTGACCCCGACAAGCGCTCATCGTCACAGTTGTAAACACGACAGCTTTCTTCTTCCATGAGGGGATTTGGCAACACAACATGTTTGTTTCCAGGTGGAACGTTAAAGAACGTGACACACATGTCTCTCGGAAATTCTGTATAATTCAACCAATCCAGTGACGACTTCGAAACTCTTGAAGTGTTTCCAGTTATGTGTGCCATATGCATCAGACATTCAGCAAACGTTCCATGGGTGTGACATCTGAGACTAGTGTTTATATAGACTATATTACACTAAAGTAGCAGAGAGCTATTATGTGTGTTTTACAGGTGTAATAGCAATCTGTTGTTGAGGTTCTTCTCTACAATTTCTTAGGTCTGTGAAACATTCGGCGATTCTTTGGTGAGCTGTGAGGGAGACTGTAACAGGCTGTTTCATCCTGAGTGTATTGGACCTAACAGTGGAACTGAAGGAGAACTCCTGTGTCAGGAGTGTAAGACAGGTGAGCATTATTACATCCTATAGGTCCTAAATGGTTAGCCATTTGAATTAAATAAACCGAGTTAAAGAGGTGTTCCTCTCCAAAATGTTTTTTTTTTACTAGCAATACATGTGATTTGTAGTAACTTTTTAAAAGCTATAACCAGTTATATAGCCCACCAGTAACACTGAAATATATGGCCTATCCACCTTATTCTTAAACTTGGAAGTAAGCCTATGGGCGAGACTTCCGGTTCATTAGCCGCTGTAGGGAAATAACGAAGACGTTTTAACAACGTGCAAAAAACGGTAAAACTGTTCGCACTACAAACCAGTGTGTTCATAATTAAGATAATACATTAAAATAATATGGTAAGACACACCAATTTGCAATATCAAGCAGCAAAACGAGCTGATAGCTGGATGCGGATAAGACCGGAAGCCAGACCCATAAAATTTACAAATGGTCGCACCCATTCTTACGGGAAAAATAAAGTGGATAACTTCTGTGGAGAAAAGTTTCATAGCAATTCTACATTTTAGACCTAATGTGAAGAGGTTTAAAGAAATGGGTTATTTTGTGTTAAAATTGTCATGCATTTTATTTGTGCTAATAATTTGAACTTTAATAGTGTGTTGAAAATTGCATTTTTGAAGCATTTTTTTCCGTTTTAAGTTCCTGTTAAGTCTAATCTGTTTGTCGCCATCACTATCTCCAGGTTCCCACCATTGTTTCTCCTGCAAGGTCGCGGAGGGTGATATGAAGTGGTGCTCAGTGAATGGTTGTGGCCGGTATTACCACGAAACCTGTGCCCGCAAGTACACTGGCACCACTACTGATATTAGAGGCCTCCGCTGCCCTCAGCACAGCTGTGCCACATGCTGTCTCGACAGAGACCTTCACAAAGCTGGCAAAGGTAGATATATAGAAGATTCACTTATTCTTTGTATTTTACAGAAGCAATTTCAGAGCTTCCTTTTTCATTCCCCCCCCATTTAGGCCGCATGATGCGTTGTATCCGCTGTCCGGTGGCGTATCACACAGGAGATGGTTGTGTTGCGGCTGGCAGTGTGTCGATAACATCCCACATCATCATATGTAGCAACCACTCCAGTTCCAGGAAGAACGGACACTTTTCCTCACCTGTAAACGTAGGCTGGTGTTTCATCTGCGCTCGAGGTACGTTTGACCAGACAGTCTTCATACCTTGCGTTATAGCTAATGCCATAATTGCTGAGATGTTTAGATTTGTATGTTCAGTGTATCTCATACTTTAAGTGGCATTTATACAGGTTCTTGTCAAAATTGCAAGTTGTCACTAGTGCAGTTAGTGAATGTAACACTTTCTAACAAACTTCACGCCACATCAGTATTTTAATGTTCTCTGGTGTCGTCCTTTGCAATGTTCAGTGTTCCTTCTTTTTAAGAGTAGGAACCTTTAATGTGACTTCTGACCTTCTTTCTTGTCACCTAATCCTTTACTCTCAGATGTACTGTGTGTTCGTGATCCATCAGATCATGTTTGTTTCCTACTAATTAGTAACATTTTAATTGTCTGTGATTATTCTGGGGAAGGACTGAGATTGAATTAAAAATGTAATTTCATTTGAACTTTTAAAATGACAAAAATTGTCAGTAATTTAAGACATTCCAGTGAGCCATTAATGAACACTAAATCTGTTTGTTTGTTTGTAAGTAGTAAAATTATGAAAATCCCCATCTTATGCCAGAGTTATTGTTTTTAGTATTTTTATTCACAGATATAGAGATCGTGATAATTGAACATGATAATGTTCATAATTAACAATTCATAATTAACTGATTAATTAATGTAGATATATTGTTTAAGTAAAATTAGACATTAAATGTTTAATATTGGACCTTGCAATTCATCTGCAATACAACAGATAAATAATCAGACAAAATTAGATTTTGTTTAGATACATTTTTAATTAATTGCTAATATTGGTTGATACCATATATTGTGCTCTAAATTAATGTCAATAAGTGTGTTTATATGCAGAATCTTACAGCAGTTGTTTAATAAGCCTATAATATGCCAAGACCTAAACCAAATAATTTTCAGGTTTGCATTTATGAATGAGCACTGATTTTTGAAAGCGTTTTGTTGCACATGCAAACCCACTCAGTGTTTTGTTCAGAATGCAAACATTAATGAATATCATTGATTGCATCTTTAAGTTTTGGAATTATCAGACACCTTCCCACTTTTGTAGAAAAGCTCTTTAACCCTCTAATTTCTCCAGGAACTAATTGATAATGATAAACTGAATTTTGGTCATTTCTTTAACCATCTTTGTTGTCTGCAGTAATTTGGATAGTCTGTGTTGTCGTGGGAGCGGTTGCATATCACTTGATCTTTATTACTCAGATTTGTCCTTACAACCTTTTTCATTAAAGAAGTAAAATATTTGTTTCTCACCATCATGTTGTTCCAAACCCTTATGACTTCATTTCTTCCCTGAAACTCAAAGTGCAAAATTTGGAAGAAAGTTCTGATTCTGTCTTTATTTTTCCCCCATGCAGTTGCAATTTAAGAGGGCTGAAATTTTCAAGGTCAAATAAGGATGTAAAAGCACCATAAACATATCATAAAAATGATCCATATGACTCTGTGCCCAGTATTTTAAGGCTGGTGAACCCATATGATAGTTTTGTGTGCGAAACAGTAAAATGTAAGTCTTTATTCACTAGAAGAGAGGTTTGGAACAACATGAGGGTGAATAAATAACTAGATTTTTGAATGAACTATTCATTTAGCATTTGGCTACTATTAAAAGCAGAATATTTGCATATTTTACATTTTATCCTGCAAATCCCTAAAGCTCTCACTCCAACACTGCAGTAATCCTCTTAAGACTCGTTTTTTGTGTTCTCTTTTCAGGACTACTTATTTAATCACGTGTCTTTTTTTTGAACTTTTAAAATGACAAAAAATGTCAGTAATTTAAGACATTCCAGTGAGCCATTAATGAACACTAAATCTGTTTGTTTGTTTGTAAGTAGTAAAATTATGAAAATCCCCATCTTATGCCAGAGTTATTGTTTTTAGTATTTTTATTCACCGATATAGAGATCGTGATAATTGAACATGATAATGTTCATAATTAACCATTCATAATTAACTGATTAATTAATGTAGATATATTGTTTAAGTAAAATTAGACATTAAATGTTTAATATTGGACCTTGCAATTCATCTGCAATACAACAGATAAATAATCAGACAAAATTAGATTTTGTTTAGATACATTTTTAATTAATTGCTAATATTGGTTGATACCATATATTGTGCTCTAAATTAATGTCAATAAGTGTGTTTATATGCAGAATCTTACAGCAGTTGTTTAATAAGCCTATAATATGCCAAGACCTAAACCAAATAATTTTCAGGTTTGCATTTATGAATGAGCACTGATTTTTGAAAGCGTTTTGTTGCACATGCAAACCCACTCAGTGTTTTGTTCAGAATGCAAACATTAATGAATATCATTGATTGCATCTTTAAGTTTTGGAATTATCAGACACCTTCCCACTTTTGTAGAAAAGCTCTTTAACCCTCTAATTTCTCCAGGAACTAATTGATAATGATAAACTGAATTTTGGTCATTTCTTTAACCATCTTTGTTGTCTGCAGTAATTTGGATAGTCTGTGTTGTCGTGGGAGCGGTTGCATATCACTTGATCTTTATTACTCAGATTTGTCCTTACAACCTTTTTCATTAAAGAAGTAAAATATTTGTTTCTCACCATCATGTTGTTCCAAACCCTTATGACTTCATTTCTTCCCTGAAACTCAAAGTGCAAAATTTGGAAGAAAGTTCTGATTCTGTCTTTATTTTTCCCCCATGCAGTTGCAATTTAAGAGGGCTGAAATTTTCAAGGTCAAATAAGGATGTAAAAGCACCATAAACATATCATAAAAATGATCCATATGACTCTGTGCCCAGTATTTTAAGGCTGGTGAACCCATATGATAGTTTTGTGTGCGAAACAGTAAAATGTAAGTCTTTATTCACTAAAAGAGAGGTTTGGAACAACATGAGGGTGAATAAATAACTAGATTTTTGAATGAACTATTCATTTAGCATTTGGCTACTATTAAAAGCAGAAAACAGAAAATCAAATGACACAACAATTGTTGCATATTTTACATTTTATCCTGCAAATCCCTAAAGCTCTCACTCCAACACTGCAGTAATCCTCTTAAGACTCGTTTTTTGTGTTCTCTTTTCAGGACTACTTATTTAATCACGTGTCTTTTTTGTGTTTTCTGGAATCATGGGTAGTTTCATTACTCATGACTTTTCCTGTTTGTCTCGTGTAGGGCTTTTAGTGCACGACCATACTGACACCATATTAAGTTCATATACCTTTAAGTCGCACTACCTTCTGACTGAGTCAAATCGTGCTGAGTTGATGAAATTACCTATGATTCCTTCTTCTTCGTCAGCTACCAAAAAGAATATTGGGAAAGGTAAAATCATGTTTTCTTGGTTTATGTCGTTTGCCATCTGTATACTTTCACAGCTGTCTTATTGCTCATTTTTATTTATTTGTTTATTTTTGGGAGCATTTTATTGCTCGTAATTTAACACCCTCACACTGCTTCTAATGCACATAGTGGGCTTAAAATAACACGCAGCAACAAATAACCTACATTTTTAGTTCTTTAGTTTAAAATTAGATAGCAGCATTGTAAATTAGTTTGGGATATTGTGTAGAGAAATGAAATAGAAGTTGGCATAATACTCAAATCTTTGTTTGCCTATAACTGATTCCGAGGATTTTAATAACTAGGTTATATGTCACGTAACTTGTTATTCTGAGTCCGTAACATGCTTTGGCTTAGCGTTAATTGCTTGGATTGTTTCTAAATGACTTTGTCCAGTTTCTCTGTTTGCTTGAGCACAATTATACCCTACCACCCTCCAAACATAAACATATTTTGGATGGCAGTTTTAATAGAGCCAACAGCAGGGTCCCGGAAGTAAAAATCCCATTCATTTTGTCCATAGAGAATTTATTTTTAAAAGTAGCTTGTACATCTTGTACAGCTCTAATGTATGGAAGCCCTTTTCTGTCATGGAATATAAACTAATAAAGGTAATTGTGACTTCTCACAATTCTGACTGTTTTTCTTGCATTTTTGAGAAAAAAGTCAGTATTGCAAGATATAAACACAGAATTTGGACTCTTAGTTTCTCGCAATTGTGTTTTTATTATTATTATTGTTATTTCCACCATTTAATAAAAATTAAAAAGGTAATTGCAACCTTTTTATCTCAAAATTTAGATTTTTTTTCCCTTGCAGTTGCAAGTTTATATTTCACAGTTTGGACTTTTCTAAGAGTTGCGAGTTTATATCTTGCAGTTTTGAGTTAACATCTCACAATTCTGAATTTTTTCCAACCTTTTTTTAAATTGTGAAAAAAAGTCAGAATTGTAAGAAGTTAAAATTACCTTTTTTTCTGTAGAAAAACGGGCTTCGATACAGATGATTAGTATTGATGTATGTTTGTTGAAGTTTCAGATTTCATTTGAACCTCCAAAAAATATATAGTTTTGTACTTTCAATTAGTGAAGTTTTATATTGTACTTTTTAAAATATTTTATTTACGTAATTTTTAAGATTCTTGGGGTGAGTAGTTCATTCCCTCATAGATTAAATGCCAAATAAATTTTTTTGCTTTAAAGATTGTAATGTGATTCATTTCCCAAACATAAACATATTTTGGATGGCAGTTTTAATAGAGCCAACAGCAGGGTCCCGGAAGTAAAAATCCCATTCATTTTGTCCATAGAGAATTTTTAATTTTTAAAAGTAGCTTGTACATCTTGTACAGCTCTAATGTATGGAAGCCCTTTTCTGTCATGGAATATAAACTAATAAAGGTAATTGTGACTTCTCACAATTCTGACTGTTTTTCTTGCATTTTTGAGAAAAAAGTCAGTATTGCAAGATATAAACACAGAATTTGGACTCTTAGTTTCTCGCAATTGTGTTTTTATTATTATTATTGTTATTTCCACCATTTAATAAAAATTAAAAAGGTAATTGCAACCTTATATTTCACAGTTTGGACTTTTCTAAGAGTTGCGAGTTTATATCTTGCAGTTTTGAGTTAACATCTCACAATTCTGAATTTTTTCCAACCTTTTTTTAAATTGTGAAAAAAGTCAGAATTGTAAGAAGTTAAAATTACCTTTTTTTCTGTAGAAAAACGGGCTTCGATACAGATGATTAGCATTGATGTATGTTTGTTGAAGTTTCAGATTTCATTTGAACCTCCAAAAAATATATAGTTTTGTACTTTCAGTTAGTGAAGTTTTATATTGTACTTTTTAAAATATTTTATTTACATAATTTTTAAGATTCTTGGGGTGAGTAGTTCATTCCCTCATAGATTAAATGCCAAATCAATTTTTTTGCTTTAAAGATTGTAATGTGATTCATTTCAGAGCTGGTTGGATTGGTTCAGGACTAGAACTCTTTATTTAAGATTTTTTTTAATCACTCTGGAGAAAATGAATCGGAAAATGCTTTCGGAACCAAAGTGGCTGGAAAAGTGGGCACTCACTGCTGTGCTCCATCTTTTATTGTCCATCAGGGCTTATTTGCCATATTTTTCTTGTCAGTCAAACCAAGTGTTTTAAGTGACGCCATCCAAAATACTTGCTCCGTGTCTGCTAGTGTACTGCAGGTGATGTTAATGCGGACAATCAGTCCGTGTGCATCACTGCATGTTTCCCATAATGCCCCCCTCTGATCATTGACTATTGGTTGCTTATTAAATCACCCGGCACAAAAAAGCACATTAACATAATGCTGAAAGGTGTTAGTCATCAAACCATGTCTGAGCATGTCAAACTGAACTTCAAATAGGCATTTAGAATCTAGAGGCATATGTTGAAGCATTTCAGAGACGTATATCGATCTCAGAGGACACATAACTGTCTGATTCTGACATGCTCATGGATGAGGTTTGTGGAATACCACCTTATTGGGAATGGACAAGCATGTGGTGATACTGTGGGCCTGTGTATTCGATTGTGTGTTTATGTGTGTGTGTGTGCTTGTCAAAAAGGAGGAAGACTGTTGTGTTGCGAGGCCTGTCCTGCCTCGTTCCACCCCGAGTGCTTGAACATGGAGATGCCAGAGGGGACGTGGCAGTGTGGGGAATGCAGAGGGAGACATGCCACACCTATTAGTGTTTTTTGTGCCAAAAAAAAAAATCTGCTTGAATTTGATAATCTGGGACATATGTTTTAGGCCTAAAAAAAAGCCTGTATTCACCATACTTTATGCATGCCTAACACAATAATCACCCATTTTTAAAAAGCATTATGAAAAAAATGACAAGTATAGAAATCTCAATAAGGTAATGTATTTCAATATCAGGAAAAATTATTTCTTCCTGTACACAGGATGAACGATCTACTGTGTTAATTCATTTTAATTAATTTAAAACTATTAAAATTGTTTAACATTGTATTAACATTTTAAAGAATCAACTAAAATTTAAGCAACCGCAAGCAACAATTTTATTAATGGATTATTCAGTCAGTTATTCAAGTTCTCCATTCTATTCAAATTGGGGCTACTCGGGGAACAAACACTCTGTGAGTGTGTAGGGTGTGTCTGTGTACAGAACATTGTCAGCTGGCCTGGGCGCAGCTCCCCCTCCTGCTCAGTGATTTGAACCATTGTATACTAAACTAACTGGGAATTTGGGAAATGAAATTAACCGTTTACTTCATCCTGATACCTTTGCTTGCTACTGGAAAATGTTTCCCAGATTCCATCTCTGTAGAATCTCTCTAGCTAGCTGGTTTAGCTCGCTGCTAGCTACTGTGAACTTATTCCTCCATTTGAAGACTGTCCCAGATTACCCAAAGCATGCTGTCCCACATTCTCAATCATATTTGATAACGTGGGACAACAAAAAAAATGTTTGAAAGAAAAAAAACTAAAACACATTTTAAAGATATAAATATAATGCATTAAAACTAGAGCACCCTCCGTAATGTCAGAAGCACCCTCAGTGATTATTTCTGGTTGGTATACACTTTGATTGTATAGCCTACAAAAACAACAACATACAAATGCACTAGAAAAAATAATTTAATAAATGCATATTTACAATTTAAGCACTTAACTAAAATAAGTAATAAATAATCAAATAAATAACTAGAGAAGGCTGACTATAACCAGTTTGCTTCCATTTAGTAAGAAAAGCCTTGGCTACTCTTCACCTGAATTAGAAAAAAAAGCTCTTCTGGTGTTCAGTGATGCGAGGACAACGTTTGAGCGTGTACACGCAATATCGGAGCGAGAGCAGAGCCAATTCATAAAATAAAATAAAAAAACAATGTATAGTTAAAAGCACACATCCAGTTTTGTATGAGTGAAGGAAATCCGCTTGCAGATTCTTGCGGTGAGATTCTTGCTCACGCATTACATGGATCGCGTAACATTATGCGCTCTTGACATTTGTCATTAAGATCACGCTATAGAAACCGCTTAAAATTAAGTATAAATAAGAGCAGAAAGCGGCCCTAGGCCACTGGATCCGCCATTGCCAGATGCAGTTAGAAATTTACTAAAAACAAACCTATCGCAAGTTATCTGCTAAGGGGGGGGGGCACCTGGGGTGGCCAGCCAGATTTCGGGGGGGGCGGTGCCACCACGTAGACATGCCCCTGGTCACAAGGCGATCACGTGAGGCGCTCCCTCTGGCATGATAATCTTAATAATATCTTGTAGTGTGTTATGCGCCATGATGTTCAAATCTTGAAGTGTGTGCATGTTCAAGATTTGAGAGAAGATAATCTGCAAAGATTCTCCTTATGTTTGTGCTGCAACCAGATTTCATAATCGGTTAGGATTTTAAAACTCCTGTAGTGTGAGCCCAGCTTTAGTGTCCTAAGATACTTTTAACTAAACTAAGGCATGTTCATGCCAAGTCTGAAGTGACTAAATGGCACTAAAATGTAACAAATTCAGAACAAAAGTTTTTTTTTTTCACCAAAATGAGTTTATAATAAAAATATATAAAACATATAATTTTTAATAAATAATAATACAAGTAATAATACTAAAAATATACCATCTAAAAATGTTACAAATTATTGTAGTATGATATTTCTGACTTTTTTTAATCTTCTGATGCATGTTTTGTTTTTAAAAATTCAGATTCCATATAATTATTGCCAAATTTACGCTGCAAAGGTGGCACAGAAGAGCTTCTGAACTGGCAAACAATTAGGTGTCTGTCTATAGACTGTTTACTGCTGTTTAGAGGTGCAATAAATGCATTTACACAGCAACTCTGTACCTTTATACCAGGGGTGTCCAAACTCGGTCCTGAATGGCCAGTGTCCTGCAGAGTTTAGCTCCAACTTGCCTCAACACACCTGCCTGGAAGTTTCTAGCATGCCTAGTAAGACCTTAATTAGCTGGTTCAGGTGTGTTTCATTGGAGTTGGAGCTAAACTCTGCAGGACAACGGCCCTCCAGGACTGAGTTAGGAGGCCCCCTGCTTTATACCTTTAAATTTACAATGCAATTACCAGGTGGCAGAGAAGCACTTCTGAAGTGGCATTTAGTTGTCTTTACACAGACAATTTAATGCTACTCATAGGTGACATAAATGCATTTGCACAGAAATTAAAGCTGTGTAATTTGATACTAGGATCTGAGGTGGGTCTGAGCAGGCATTATTTCGTCTGGCTTTTATGCAGCATCGCCTCTTAACACAATTTTGAACAGGCACAGAGCAGCCTTAGCTGTGTAAAGAGGCCTTACACTAGGGGCTAAGGTGGTCAGAGCAGGCATTGCTTAATCCAGCTTTTATGTTTCGTCATGTATTTACACATATTTTTGAGCTGGCACAGAGCAGCCTTAACTCAGCTGTGTAAAAAGATGTCTTTACACAACCGCGTTAAGGCTGCTCTGTGCCTGCTCAAAATTCAGTGCAAAATGCAATGCTGCATAAAAGCCAGACTGAATTTTGCCTGCTCAGACCCTAGCATCAAAGCATACAGTTGTAATCACTATGTAAATGCATATATGCCACCTCTGAGCAGATTTAAAGCGTATGTTTAAAGACACCTAAATGCCACTTCAGAAGCACATCAGTATTTTTGGTTTGTTTTCCTAGGTGACGATGACTTTATTTTACCTGTGTAACCAGTAAATAAGTGATAAACTTAATGTTGATGTTGAACCATGTGTAGGTGGTGGCCAGCTGAGATATGCAACCCTCGCCTGGTTCCCTCCAACATCCAGAGCCTGAAGCATGACATTGGTGACTTTCCAGTCTTTTTCTTTGGCTCCCATGACTATTACTGGATAAACCAGGGAAGAGTTTTCCCATATGTTGAGAGTGATAAGAACTTTGCAGAGGGACAAGTTGGCATCAATAAGACGTTTAAAAAAGGTAAGATAATTATTAGTATGTTTAATGGAATGATCATGTCCCCAATAATGGTCAAGCTGAATTGACCCCTAAATGTATTTTTGTGTGTAAAGCACTTGAGGAGGCAGCAAAAAGGTTCCAGGAGCTAAAAGCACAGCGAGAAACTAAGGAGGCCCTCGAACAGGAGCGCAACTCTCGCAGACCCCCACCATACAAACTTATCAAGGTACAGGATATAGCTCAAATATTTTATTTCTCTGCTGTCGTGTGGTACCATAATACGGCCCATTCTTACATTTCATGTTAATCTCTCTACAATGCAACTTTACAAAGAAAACTCAAATCATATTGAAACAAACTAAAGCTCTGTATTTTTGTCCATGTTTTTCACCTCAGTCCAATAAGCCAGTTGGGAAGGTGCAGGTGCACGTCGCTGACCTCTCAGAGATCCCACGCTGCAGCTGCAGACCAACAGATGAGCGTCCGTGCAGCCAGGACTCTCAGTGCCTGAACCGCATGCTGCAGTATGAATGCCACCCGCAGGTCTGTCCGGCAGGTGACTGCTGCCACAACCAGTGCTTTTCCAAACGCCTCTACCCCGACACTGAGGTCATTAAGACCACCGGCCGAGGATGGGGCCTAAAGACCAAGCAGGACCTCAGAAAGGTGAGAGGTTGACGTCTGAGCATGAAGTCTAATTGCACTAATGGACTGGAGCTTTAATTGTGAAAAGTTCAGAAAGACTGGGAAATTAATAAAATCTAAATTTCTGTGGTGACTATAAATATTTGTAGTTTTGCTCAGGGTTACTATCATTAAACTATTGAAAACATTTTTCATAACTGAAATAAAGTTGAAAAAATTTACTATTTGATATTAGATCAATTAAAATATTAGCTAAAGTTACTAACTGTAAAGATAATAATAAAAAAAAAATGACAAAAGCATGTAACATTTTTTTTAATGCCTAATTTTCAGCACTAAAAAGCCTTCACACGGACCAAATCTGAAATATTATACTTTATTATTAATAGTAATAATAATGTTGTTGTGGAGCTACTTTATTTTTAAAGTTTATCATTTAAATAAATCTTTATTATTATTATTAATTGTATGTAGGTTGGTTTTTTTTTTCATGTATTCTGACTTTTTTGGAATGTCAAAAATAATCAACGTTTTGGTGAAAAACTTTTGAAGTTCAGACCTTCATATTGCATAAAATGTTTCATTTTACTGATCTTGGGACATTGTTTGGTTGTGTTTAGGGTGATTTTGTCATGGAGTATGTTGGCGAACTGATCGACTCCGAAGAGTGCAAGCAGCGAATAAGACATGCCAATGAGAACGATGTGACCAACTTTTACATGCTGACCCTCACAAAGGTACCACTATTGCATGTTTACTTTGTGTATGTCACATTATAACGTCATCTCGGCTGTATTAAAGTCGCTCCTTCTCTGCTTCTCAGGACCGTGTGATTGATGCTGGACCCAAAGGGAACTTGTCACGCTTTATGAACCACAGCTGCAGTCCTAACTGTGAGACTCAGAAGTGGACAGTGAATGGAGATGTGCGGATAGGGCTCTTTACCTTGTGTGATATCGCTGCAGGTAAGAACAATTTGTATTTTCTTTGAAAAAAGGACAGCGTTTGTTTAGAAGCTAATTGAGATTATCATGGGTTTTTTTTTTTTCA